TTTCCTCCCTCTCAGGTAACTGTACTGTTGACATAAGTCATCACCCCACGGCTAATGTATTTAAATGGCTCCGCCGTATTCAGGAATGTGCTGGCCGGTGCAATTTGCTGCAGCCTCTAGCCTGGAAGTTTTTAACCTCAGTGCGGGATGGTAAGTCATAGGCGCGACGAATCTTTTCAAATCAGCAACCGTCAGTAATACACAAACCATATAACGGGCGATTCTTCCTAATAACACACTAATACAAAGGAAACTTAATATGCTTCTACCACAAGATTTAACGCAGTTCATCATACCGTCTCTCAGTTCGTATAGTTCGTATAGAAAAAGCAACGGATACAGCGGACTCGCATACTGTATAACAGAATTTCGCTTATAACGGACAAACAATTTGGTCCCCAGGGCCGCTTTTAGCTGTAGTTTTGTTCGGCTATAACAGACATGCAGGCTCCGCCTACAAGGTGTGTGGCGTGCCGGTGATATCCAGCGCAGATACGTAGTCGGGATTATTAATAGCCACACATCTGGTCAGGTAAAGTTGGATTAATACATGTACAATATAATAATCTATAACACAAGTGTGTCTGCTGGGGTGTGGCATGAGTAAATGGTGTCCTGTAGTTGTGTTCTGGACATACAGCAACTCTGGATATAACAGACTGGATACAACGGACTCTTTTGCCAGGTCCCTTATAGTCCGTTATAAATGGATTTTACTGAAGTTCGGAACATGGTCGTCGTTAGGTCCGAGTATTTTAGCCCCGGTCCCAGTCTTCCTTCAAAGAAAAGGTAAACTTGACATAGCCCCGCTCTTTTCAATAGCTAGAAACTCCCCTGGTTTGTAATAAAATAGCACGCGATTTAAATGAAATTGAAGGTATACATCTACATCAGAGTTTCTTCAGTTTGGACACAAGGTGGCAAACAACTTTGAGCGATCCTGGTCAAAAATAGGGAATTTATTACTCTGAAGGGTCCTATGATTGTCTATTGCAGGGGTCACCAACCTTTTTGAAACTGAGAGCTACTTCACGGGTATTGAGCCATACGAAGGGCTACCAGTTTGAAACCTCCTAAACTTATCTAATCTTCATGTATAATAAACATGTTTTAAATGCTTTTTTTTGATATTGTGATTTTCAAATCTATGTAAATGCAAATGTGATTAAAGAAGAATAGCAACAGGATAAAATAAAATTTTAGACGCTGCTCACTGGTGAGTTGTGCTATTTTTAGAACAGGTCGGCGGGCGACTCATGTGGTCCTTGGGGGCATCCTGGTGCCCGCGGGCACCATGCTGGGGACCCCTGGTCTATTGCTTTAGGGTAGCTGATAGAGATGTGTTACACCTCAGGGACTGGATGCCAGAGAATCACAGCTAAACAGAGACGTGCAGCACTGCTGTGGATCCTCCTCAGAATAAACTTTCAATACTGGTTAAGGCAACTCTATTTTTAAAATTGCTTGTAACCCAAACAGTGAGGCATATGTGCACCATTATAGTAGTTTGCACTTAATGGAAAATGAATTTGACTGATTTTCCTGCATTTTCTACTCTGAAAAATGCACATTAAAGTGACATCAGCACTCTGCTATGAAGGAGGTTCAGTGTAAGCAAGGACAGGCAATGATAGGACAAAGCTTACTTACTTTCAGAAAAGTATCAGCTTGATCACATAAACCTAACACTCTCCAGGCTGGGACCAGACTGACACCTCACTTGGTCCCCACTTGCTACTGGGGACTTACTTCTAAAAGACACTCAGGAGCAGAGACCGCAAATTGCATACAAAGTATACATTATGTTCCACTCTAAATGTTCAGTGAAGTTCATTCCTGGTTAACAGACATAAAAGGTTAAGGTACAGTACAAGAGAAAAGAAGCTTTACCACACAGTGACTCAGAGCCTGCTTATGGGGTGGCCACACTTGTGGATCCTTTGCAGATTTTGTGACAGCACATCGTAGTGGCATAGTGTGACAGTTCCATGCACAGAGGTGATTCAAAAGAGGAAATCACAGATTTATCAGCCTCTGAACTCAACAAGATCAGTGAGTGGATTTCGGTGATCTTTTATTTTTATTCGTTTAAGAAAAAGCCACAAAAAGTTCTTCACATGGAGATTTTGAGACACACTGAGATTTGGAGATAACAAGGGCTCCCCTGTGTCTGGCAGCAGATGTGCTGCGTCGCTTCTCGGAGAGCGGCGCGCCTCTCCATTTGCATGTAGGACGCATAAGAACGCGTCCTGGGAGCCATCCTACGTGGCAGTGACATTTACACAAACGGCACCATGGAGATGGAACCAGGCTCCAGCCAAGAAGGAATCAGAGGGAGGGACACTGAGATGCTAGGCCGGGAGGTGGTGAGTTCGGAGCCCCAGCTTACGTGAGACGAACCACTAAATAGCCTGCTGTCGTAACCAAAGTACAGGAGGATGCAACCCCTGGGAATCTGTCTGCACATTTCCGCAGCCCAAGGAGAAGACATGAGATGAACCTGCACCTTTACAGTGGTCTAGAGCTGCAGGATGTTTCTGTGCATTTCCTCAAATACAGGAAACATCTTGTGGAAATCTGACAGCCCAACAGGTCAGACTGGTTCTGAATTTACACATGACACCTGTGAATCTATTTTAATCTCCATTCTGCCCCTCTCCCCACCCACCCATATGCCCCCCCCTCTCCCGAGTAGAGAGAATTGTTAATAGAAGGGCAGGATTACTTGTAAGGCATATTGGTTTCCCACCCTGTCTATAGCAGCACCATGAGACACACCTGGATTCGATTCCTGCATCTTGTTACTGTAATTACAGCTTAAACATCTACCAAGTGAAGACTTAACTGGCAAAACCAGCCAGTTGCCTAGCTACCTGGCAGCACTGGCTGTTCTAATAACCCCCCCCCCCCCCGCTATTTACAGGGTCAAGGTGGACGACCAAGGGTGGGAGAGAGAGGGTGGGATAACTAGACATCAGGGAGGCATTAATAGTCCACCTAAGGTATCATCTGAGGGATGTTCACCCCAAGCCTGCCTTTGTCCCTAAGGAGAACCTTGGCCATTTCGACCAATGATGCCTTTCTTATTCTCAGCGCCCCCCCCCCATATCCCCACCACAGCACCACCCATCCTTGGGTGAGATCCAGCTCATTAACTCAAATGTCAAAAATGACAACGTAGTGTTCCCATCTCTGTCTGAGGCATCTAGCAGGCTGACCTGACTCCTACCTGTATTAATGTGCATGAAATGCAGCACGCTGGGCACAAAGGGGTTAACAGGACCACTCCAGACCTCTCTCTTAATCCTCTGAATAGTAAATCCCTTCTGAAACTCAAACTGGAACTGGTGTCACCCCAGCTCACACAAAAAAAAACACACCTGAGATGATGTTAACGTGTGACAGACACAGGGGGGCGCGGAAACGGCAGCAGCCACTTGCTGGATGACCGTTTCGGGTCAAGCGCATCTCTAACGGCAGCACTGGAGTACCGGCTGCGCATTCAGCTATTATGTCAGGGATGCTTTAGACGATGCATCCCTAAGAAGTCATCTAAAGCATTATGAGACCTCATCTAAGATATCAGGTTAAGGAGGAGCGCTGATGTGCAGAAAGGTAATCACACTCTGAATGGATCTACAACACCGAGTTCAATAAGCAGTCACCAATCGGGCTTGAATAATTTACTCCATTTGGTGCAACATACACGGGCACACAATAGTAAATATATAAATATCTGCTGTACTCAAACACACAACACATGCACTGCACCACAAAATACAGCACCTTTTTAATTATGGATGAGACACTCGTATGAAGCACTGGCACTGGCACGCCCAGAGGTACCTCTGTCTAAAATACCTTATTGTCAGGTGGCAAATCCCAAGCAACCATGCAACCTGACTGCCATACAGAAAGAGAGAGAGAGAGGGGTGCATAGGAAGAAAAGGATAGGAACAAGAAGAAAGGGTGAGGTAGGCAAAAAAGGAGAGAGAGGAGAAGAGGAGATATACCCAGGGAAAGAAAGTAAGAGCGTACAGGAAAATGAAGATGGGACAGAGGCAGAGAATCGGAAAGGCGGGGGAGGAAGAGAGAAAGGGGGAGAGTGAGTGAGGGTAAGAGAATGAGAGAAAAGAGAGAAGAAACATGAAGAGGAGAGAAGAGTGTTTAGATTTCAGGGGCAGAATTCTGGCCTGCAAAAACAGTTGCTTACACCACATAAGAAAATGATCAATAATTCATTAGACCGCCATAGAAATGGCATGAAACAACAGAATGAGTGTTCTTTCCTGGCAATTGCAGAATAAAAGGACTGAGCTCGTAGAGTATTAACAGTGTGTCCTTGGCTTTGCTTGAAATAATCATACAAAGACAGATGGATATTTTCACCGAGCTCCATGAATGCGGTGTCGAATCCGCAGCATTGGAGGCATTTTTACATTATACATGCTAGAACTCATTTTCCTTCGGGGTCAGTGAAGTGACACACACACAAAAACCTAGGTATGGCTATACATATTTCAAAATTCAAGCTTAAACACGAGGATTTAACATTCCTCACAGGACCACTCCTATTCCCTCTCACTCCTGCAGGAAGCCAGAGGAGTGACCGAGGCTCCTGTCTGAAACGCCAGGACTTACAAGGGGTGTGCGGGTGACACTCAGCTCGCCCCCGATGCGCGTGTGCACATGGGTCTAAATGTCTGAGTGCTGCAGTCCACAACCACTACTGTCACCAGCATCTCGACCCAGCAGGCACAACTGCACGGCGCAATGCGGGTCGGATTGGTCTAGATGCCCACACATCACAGCCTACAGGGCTGTTAGGCTGCAGGTTCTCCTTTACATAAAAGGTAAACATGCTCCCCTGATCAACTTTGAGACCCGGCCTGCCCCAACATTGCATCATTGCAACACAGTGCCCAAGGACGCCTGATGTATCTGTCTTCGAGTCTAAGGGATGCTTAGAATAAATCAAAGCACGCAATTAGGTGACTTACCTGTTTGTTGTACTTGCTGGTGGTCTGACAGCTGTACTCAGAGCAGTGGTCAGATCCAAGCGATATGTTATCTCCGGTTCCCACGAAGGTGTTTGCTGGGGGCAGGTCTTGCACAGCCTGGTGTTTTTTCCCCGCTGTGGGTGACTGAGGGTGCAGCTGGACCGTGGGCAAGGGAGAGCTGGACTTGTAGTGTCGAGCGAGGTCGGGACTCCCGGGACCGCCATTGACAGAACGGTAGCGACCCATCCCTGGGCTGTCTGACAGTTTCTCATTCACACCATCATAGCGTTGCCCGTTGGGTTTGGATGCCTCCACAGTGACAATGCTGCTGTACAGGGGCTGCTTGGACTTCTTGTTCTTCCTGTCCTTTTTGGGTTTCTTGTTCTTGTCATGCTGCTGAGGGGTGAAAAAGTCCTCATGGTCCTTCTTTCCGGCCTCATAGCCATTCTTGCTCTTGGGCCGGCAGTACCGGGCCATGACAACAATGAGGATAATGAGGATTACCGTCATAATACCCGATACCACACCTATCACAATGCTCAGTCTCTGTTTGCCTAAATCGTAATTTGGGTCTCCGGCAATGTCAACAGACAGGGGTGTGCCCAGGCTCTTGGCAACCTGAGCCTCCACAATGGTAGAATTAGACACTGTCTCATTAATGTACACGTGCACCAAGGTGGTAGTACTCTGCGAGGGGAGGCCACTGTCATTCACTTGGACCACTAGACGGTGCAAACCATAGTGCTTCTGCTCCACCTTGCCCACTAGAGAAATGACCCCATTGGCAGGGTCAATCTCAAACAGTTTGAACGGATTCCCACCTACAATGCTGAAGTTCAGGTCAGCGTTGACCCCAGTGTCGGTGTCTGTGGCCAAGACCGTTCTCACCACGGTCCTGGAGTTACTAGTGGGTGGCAGCAGTGTATAAGAATTGTTGCTGGGAAAGGTGACAGTGGGAGGATTGTCATTCTCATCCATGACAGACAATGACACTGTCGCCGTGGCAGAACGGGGTGGAATCCCGCCGTCTACTGCTTTGACTCGGAACGTGTAGGTAGTCTTTTGCTCCCTGTCAAATGACACAGTGGAGAAGATTGTCCCAGTGTCATTTTCTATGGAAAATATGTCCTCCTCCTCCTCTATGTAAAGGCTCATCTGTGCATTTTCCCCTTTGTCCGCATCGCTTACAGTAACCATCCCTACAGGGCTGTTAGGCTGCAGGTTCTCCTTTACATAAAAGGTAAACACATCTTGCATGAACTTTGGCTCATTGTCATTTTTATCTGCCACCAGGACCACCACGGTGGCAGACCCCTGGAGGACTGGGATGCCCTTGTCCTTGGCGATGACTTTAAATTCATACCTTTCCGCCTGCTCCCTGTCCAAAACGGTGTTGACTCTGATGTCCCCGCTGTCGGCATCAATGGAAAATATTCCATTTACAGAGGGGTCCAGGGAATAAGAAATCTGGGCATTCTTCCCGCTGTCTGCATCAAGAGCTACTACGTTAGTCACTTTTTCACCTGGGGCGTTATTTTCTGGAAAGGAAACTTCGACCACATTCTGGCTAAATATAGGGGGGTTATCATTGGTGTCCCCCACCTTGACAATCAAGGAGTTATTGCTAGATAAGCTAGGGCTTCCAGAGTCTACAGCCACAATGACAACGTTGTACTCCTGTGTGGCCTCGTAGTCCAGAGGGGCTGAGGTGTGAAGGAGGTACTTTTTTCGGTTTTGCTCGCCCTCTGTCTCACTGGCTGGCTTCAGCTGGAAGGGCACATCCCCTACCACCGTGCACGTTACCACCCCATTCTCTCCCTGGTCTCGGTCTGACACCTGCACCAGCGCCACCGGGGTGTCCACCACCACATCCTCTGCCACATTAGCTACCCCATCCTTTACGAATATCCTCCCGATCTTCCGGATGTCAATGATGGGCACGTTGTCATTCTCGTCTTTGATGTTGAGCACCACCGTGGCCTTATCCGTCTTGGGGGGCTGCCCGCGGTCACGGGCCATGACTGTGAAGCGCAGCTGGCTGACCTCCTCGCGATCGATGCGGTGCAGCACACTGAGCCAGCCCGAGCCCTCATCCAGGCGTAGAAGCCGACGGACAGACTCGGTGGCCGCGCCGAAGACGTATTCGATCTGCCCGTTTACTCCGACGTCAGAATCGGTGGCCTTCAGCTGCAGAATGGGGGCTCCAGGGGAGCTGTTCTCAGCCAGGTCAGCCTCATATATGCTCTTCTCAAAGCGGGGGCTGTTGTCATTCACATCCGTAATCATAACACGCAGGATGGCTTGGGAGGAACGAGGAGGGTCTCCCCCATCCCTGACCCGCAACGTCAGCTCATAGGAGTCCCTCTGCTCCCTGTCTAGGGCTCCTTTAATAATCAGCTGTGGCTGCTTCTCCCCATCCGTTGTGTCAGCAACTTGGAGTTCAAAGACACTGCTTCTGCCAGCTCCCTCAGTGTCAAATCTCCTCTTGCCTGAGTAACTCTCCCCAGCATCGACACGGCCCATGGCACTGGACCCCGGCCGCCTGACTGAGCCCTCCCCACTGTCCTGGAGCAGCTCATAGCGCTCTATTCCATTCCTTCCAAAATCTCTATCAGTGGCTGTGGGAAGTAAATACAGCGTACCTATCGGTCTGTTCTCCTCCACCGATAAAGTCAGCACAGGAGATGGGAAGGACGGGGTATTGTCATTTATGTCTAAGATGATCACTTTTCCCTCAAACAGGTCGACCCAGCTCTGTGCTGGCCCTATTACTGACACTTCGAAGTCTATGAAGCACTCGTTTTCATCAAATATCATTTGGCATTGCTGTAATTTCTCACGGTCTATCCTGCGCTCGTTAGTGCTCAGCTCTCCGGTTATATTGTCAATTTTAAAGTAATCGGATCCGGACTCGAGGGTGAAAGTCACCTCACCAGATCCAGCCACGATGCCGAGGTCGGCGGCTACGTTTCCAATCCGAACATCGGCAGGACCTTCTTCTGCTAAGCGATATCGAAGTACTTGCTTGGCAGCCGGCTGAGTCAGCAGCCGCAAAATGAGCATACAGTAGCATAAATAGTCCACTGCACCAGTAGTCCTCATCGCTCCCCGCAGCTGATCTGCTTGTTATGTAGATTTGATTCGCGCGAAGTCGTGTTGAACCTGTGGGTTAGGAAAAAGAAAATAAACGAAATGTTCATTTTTGCCCCATCTCCTTTGTGTTTGAGCGAGTCTCCCGTTTAATATGCATGCGACATCGCTCCCCGGCCGCTCTTTCACCACTTCAGTGCAGTAAATTTCAAACAGGACATAAACCACAATTATCCCCCCTAGCACCACGACTCTGCTTCCCCCGCTTCACGGGAAAAAATAAAACACTAATAATTAAATTAAATTAAATTAAATTAAATTAAATTAAATTAAATTAAATTAAACAAAATGAAATCGGACAAAATCCGCATTCTGCACAGTGAACTAGAAGAAATAGCTTTTTTAGTATAAGCCCTTTATTGTGGCTTATACATTTATCCCGTGAGATCGATTGTTTCATCTGCGTGTTAAATAATAATAATGATAACGATTATGGTAGTAATAACGATAATGAGATACTCAACCGTTTAAATTATTGGGAATGCTTAGCATGCAATTTTTATATCTTTGTCACAGTTTACTATGCAGCGGTACGAAGATAAGGGTGTTTTACATCATATTGTCTGGTACAGGAAACTCGTTTGAGATATTTCTCACTGCGGAATAACAGCAACAAAAACCCCGGACTGTCTCTCAACTAATCGAAATACTGTACTTTACAAAAAGGTCCGTCTTCTTACCTTGTGGAAGTGAATGGGCAGTAAATGATCTGTCCCGCCGTCTTTAACAAGAACTTAAGATTTTGCTGCCTCCAGTCACTTAATACATCGCGCTATATAGTTGCATCAACGGCGGAAAATAAAAAAAACCCGCAGAGCGATGCATAGACTGTGTAAGGTGGGGGGGGAATCAATGCAAAACGGAGGGAAAACTGTAATTCCGATTAAGCAGTGGTTTCAGTAAATATCCCTGGGAAGATGCCGTGCTGATTCCCGCATTCTCCGAGCTCCACCTGCATTGACACGGCCGGCGTGCGCTCGTAGCCCGTTCGCTCGCAACCCGTATCTGCGGCACTCTGAGAGCGATTCACAAATGATATTGCAGTGCCTGCTCCACTCTCCACCCCCTCCGCTTGCTGTCCCAGCGCACGTAACCACGGCTCAACTTGATCGCTCAGTTTAAAGGGTAGCCCACGAAGTGTGTGCTGGAAGATGGGCTGCTGCTGCTGGTTCTGTTCCTTCTGCGTAATCGACTGGTGGTCCTGGTTCTGTTCCTTCTCCGTAATGGGCTGCTGGTGCTGAGTAGAGGGTCTTATTGCTTAATAAGAGCCAGATCTTTATCAAATGCGACTTAATGGCACATATGCGAAATGCCGTAGCGCCCGTTGTTATGGGGGACTGAAGTGATCACAGCAGGTAAAATAAGGCTATTCTGCATGGACGAGAGGATCTGATAACACTACCCAACCATTAAACGAATAACAGCACTATGGATGTTTTGTTTTTTTGTTTTTTTGGTCTGTTACGGCACTCAATATGCCACTGCGGTATCAGATCGCCGAAACAGTATTCACGGGGATTTCAGTAGGCTACTATCCTCGGAAATATCGAGGCATAGGTCTCATCTGGAAGTTATTACAATGCACTGCTAAGCTGAAATGAAGCTCTGGGGCGACTAAATGTGCGATAAATGTCTACCAGGCTGTAGCTTATATATAAAGTACGCTGTATAATGGAAATAATTTGCTATGCGGCAAACGTAGCGGATGCTTCTTTCTTAGACGTAAATAGTCTCATTTGCTTGAAAGACTACCCTACAAATATTGCTTTTCAGCAAAATTTATTTTAAGCTCTCGGTCCGACATGACGTTCGGTTTTCATATATAGATTTGTATACAGTTTAGACGGTGGGTTTAAATTTAATGTCGCCGGAGATTTTTGTCTGCTATGCACAATGTATTTGATTTCAGGTGTTCATTTCTGGGCAAGGACTTTAATCCTTTAGATACAAGCGAGGGAGCCGGGATCGTGGGACAGGGAGCGCGCTTTACCACTGCGCAACCTGGCCCCACAGCAAACGGAGCGACACGGAGGCACGCAGGAATCTGCAGAGTCTCCGTATGTCTGAGTCTCCCCCGCCCCCGTCTGACTGCACAAAGGACGGAGCCCAGGAGGGATTCTTCCTTCCGTGATAATGCTGATGCACAGAATTTCAGACGCCGCGATATTTATTCGGCGCATCGCCGTCACCCAACGACCACGAGACAGTGATCAGCTTTCACGCCGATGCATCATGCCGTGAGAGCGCCGATATATATATATATATATATATATATATATATATGAAAATAAAACGTAAAAATAATCACCACACTAGCCTTTAGTTTGAATAAAGCGATTGCAAATGACTTAGGCGTAAATCCATGTGGATGTATTCAGAGTTTATCCTGCGTGGGAGGACTTCCCCCTGTTCATTAAATGCGATAATGCCGTATACAGTTGGTTATCGTTTCAAATACCTTTACGACGGACAGGTCTGCTTCTACGACTGAAGCAGGAGACTAGGCATCTCGGCCATATATACATCTGCTCGTTGGCGCCCTCTTTCGGCAAATCGGTTGTAACTAATATTTTTGCGGACTATAAGGTTGGAGAGGAGCGCTTTTTAACTCCTCAAGATTAACGCCACTTCCTAGTGACCATTTATATTTGCTGTACCGACCAAATTATTAATTACAGTTGCGCTAAAGGCGAATTTTGTCATGTTAAAAAAGATTTCATGTTTATGTAGATTGCAGTGAAAATCCACTAGATGGTGTCCCTTGTTTTGCCATGATGAAATGAGGCTTTAAATGAACATCTGCCCTCGCAGCTACGGCTGACATGTGCTGTGGAGGCTGGGCAAGCTGTCGGTTCCCATCGAAGTGTGTGCAGCTTTAAAGGAAATGCCAAATACAAGGTGCAGCTTCCAGGAGGAGTAACTGCTGTTGAACCTCTAGAAGGTTATTTTATCCAGTTGTCTAAAAGAGGCACCGGATTGCACTAATGGCTGAAAGTTGAAGTTGCTCACGAATGAAAAATGAGAGATGACATCATTCTGACATCACTACCATAGGACAAGCTGTTTTGGTTCATGGAACTGTGCTGTAAACTCCAAAAATAAACGTAAAAATATTTTTAATTATGTTAAAATATTTCTATTTATCTACATTTCAGAGATACTTTGAGTTTAAACATGTAATGGAATTCAAACTAAATTGGATGTTTTACTACTTTTAATTAAATTATGCTATATATAAATGCTGAATGTATCCTGTTCTATAGCCTGCATTAGATTGATTTGGCATTCTTTGCTTCTGTCAGTTGTTAATTTATGACACAGATGCTGTGGCTGTGTGCAGCTCATGGAATTAATAGTTTCTACAGTCACTGTGGTATTTAGGGGTGGAGCACAAATTAGCCTTTCATTGAAGACATACTGGAATTTCATAATGGGAATTTCATCATAGGATTTCACTCGCTTTAATGGCATCACTGCCTTAAATCAAATTAGTCCACCCATCCATCTGCATATCTTGAACCGGGACGGGAAGGGGGGGCTGGACCCTGTCTCAGGAAACCAAGGCCCAAGGAGGGGGTACTTCACAGATACCAGCCCACCAGGGCACAGTGTAGGGTTAAATCACAGACAGAATGCCAGCTCATCATGGGGCACAGGATGGGGGTACACCACAATCAGGATGCCAGTCCATCGCAGGGCACAGACACACAGGCACATGGTTACACAGTACAGGTAATTTGTAAATGTCAGTTAGCCTAAGGGATTTTTTTGGAATTCAGCAGTAAACTGAATTACAACATAGGAAGGACACGCAAACTCCTCAAAAGCCAAAGGCAGTATTCAAAGGCCAAAGTGCCCTACCCCCAAAACAGTTATATTAACTTCTAATTATTAGTTTATATAATAGGTTTTACAAAAACATGGTCCATATGAAAAATCAAAATCATATGGCGTTGCTGGCTGGAGCGGATAAAACACAATCACTAAATACGAGGCAGCCATCAGAACGTGATGAGTGCTGACATCTCATACACAAGATTCTGCTTTGAGGCTGTGTGAGGCAGGATGGCTGTGGGAAACACTGCATCAGTCTCACAGTAATTATCACAGACGTACTCCGTGCCGTGGGCCCCCGGCAGCACTGCCCCCACCAACCTGAACCAGCAGTACTACCCAAGCTCGTGGCACCGCCCCCACCCACCTGAGGTAGTGCGGGGGGAGATGCACATGACTGGAATCCAAAAGAAGAATATCGAAAAAGATACATTTATTTCTGTAGTGATGCCATGCATTATCCACCATGATAAGAATGACTGGGATGGAATCAGCTCAAAGTAACGAGAATTTCTTACTTCTGCAATAAAAATTAAGTTTAAGTAAAATTTGTTACAATGTATGCTGCACACTTGTCATTTTGGACAAAATGCCTCCATTTAAAATAATACAATTACTGGAAGTGAATCAACTGATCCGTATAAGAACGATCATGTAAATTCTGTAACGAGATGACAGTCCATCAAGAAGAGGTGAAACGAGCGTGAGCACGAGCGTGAGCACGAGCGTGAGCACGAGCATCTCATCCAGCCAAGCAGCAGATGCGGCATTGGGAGCTTTCCGGAGCGGAGGTGAGGTGCTGCTAGAGTGTAGGAGAGTGACAGATCCAAGGCATGCTGGGAAGCACTCTGTTCAGGGCTAGGCCTGAGTTTTTCATGGAGAATTTACCCTGCTACCTCTGCTGGAGATGTCCTCATTAGCCCAGGGTGTATTAGTTTTAATTAGGGAGGCTTTCGGTGAAAACATGGCAACAATTCAGCAGGAGTTCGGCGAGGGTGAGAATGCTAAACTTCCGTCCAATATAGCAGTGATGCACATGTAAAAACTGATTATTATGGCCCCTAAAAGGGCTTTAAACGCCATGGCTTCTTTAACAGCTTCGAGTTTGATGCTTGCATTATCCCTAATTGAATGGCTCTCTGCTTTCGCTAAGCGCTAACGCGCGGCGTACAGACTGGCATTTCTCACCGGAGCGCTAGCAGCTGCTGGAGGGAGGGTGTCAGACATATTCTTTTGGTGCCACACTTTCCTCCTTCTACCCCCTCCCCACCGGCATTCTCCCTTCCTCTCTCTTCTCATGTTGCCTGAAATAGACAGAGTCGCTCATTACTTTTCCGCCCAGCTCACAGTCCGTGGGCCGGATTGACCGCCTCCATCAGCAATTCCAAGCAAGCTGAAGCATTCAAAGTCGCTATCGACTTAGCTGAGCTACGTCAAAGCAACCACCACTCAGAGTTTGTTGTGCGTGATGACGGCACTCACTGTGCCCACAGACTGATCCTGAGTATGACTCTTTGACTTGGGAGGGTGTGTTTGCCCCCCGAGCAGCCGTGCACAGCTAGGCCCAGCCAGTTACGTGCTAGTGGTGTGTGACTCAGGCCAGCCTTCTGGGCCCCTGTTTCGCTGCGGTGAGCCCTGGGTTTTGTCGATGTGTGACGGCCAGTCATTGTTTGGCCCTGCAGGTTGGCAGCAGACGGAGCCAGACTCATACACATTGCTGACATCCCGCACTTCCCCTTCTCACACATTCACACAGTTGCTTCTCCTGTCTGTCTAACTTTCCCAAGACCTTTTCACATTTGTTGTTGTTGTTGTGAAATTATGTTTGATTCCCCCACTCCCCCCCATCTTCAGAAGGTTATTCAATAAACAGGCAATGTATTACACAAAGAGATGTGCTAAAAGTCAGCTATCTGCACATAGATCTGAACCTCTGGGACTCCATCTGATTTCTCCTCCTGATGCTGGATATGTGCTGGTTTCCACTTGAAAGCCAAGGCTGATCCTAGTGGAACAAAAACAGAAATTAAAAGCACTGAACAATTAAATAGTTCCCCGTTAATTTATCTCTACAGTAGCCAGGAGATGGATTCCTGCAATGAAATTAAAAGCAGAGTGCAGGAATTATCAAGGGCTGCATGTCAGGTTTGCGAGACAGATATGATTGAATATCTGGGGATTGAGCGGGAGCTCGTTTCCAAATTATGCTTTTCTATTTGAGTCTTCCCCTCCAGAGCAGAGTTATTACCGGGTGAGGCCTCCAAGACATTAGAAGTAAGTGTAAAGTGGCACACTGTTCAGTAGGTATACACTTACTTTCTTAAAAGTCATTTCATTTAATTATGTCAACCAAATCACAGACACGTGGTGTGTACTTAATGTCGTAATGGTCAGCCAATCCAAATATCACATGGAAGGAGTCCATTTATTTTTCACCTCACACTATTTTGGATTCTGGGTTTGGATTACAGTCCACAGGAAGCCTTTGTTACACGAGGGTCATCGATTCGTTCCATCTGTCACTCACGCTCCCAGAATGAGTACATTTACATGGTTTCACTGCCTCACCCCCCAAGTAAACTTGGCTCCAGTCTCGAAGTCAGTCCCAACTTGTACCCCCGACTTGTGTTCTCATGCTGTTCTTGCCCTGTCTGGTACCTTTTGCCAAGGAAAGCCCTCCCCCCAAATCAATCCCAGTGCCACATAAGGCCCTGTTCGCCATCCTGCCTGGAGAGATCCTCAAACAGCTGGTATACCTTTAAACATCTGTATCACGTGACACACAGCTCCACATCAGCACAGTGTTTGGGCTCTCTGCCACGACATCGCACAAAAGTTGCACCTAAGAGGTCCATGGATACGCCGGCCTCGAACCCCAGTGAGTCACATGATCTCCCACCTTCCAATGGCACTGTTGTTGACTCATGATGGGATAAAACATGGTGCAGAATGAACGGCAAACTAGAATGGTGATTTATGAAGAGCGTAGCTTGTTGTGGTCTCACTGTTGGAATGTGTCTGACGTCATCACACACAGAGTCAGTAACGTTGGTTCAGCCCCCATCCACTCTGACCCCCGGCATAAATGAGCTGTACCCAGCTGCTATGATACAGCGGACACAATAGGCTGGTTTATTCCCCTGACACAGCCTTCCTTATGAGGGCTGAAGCGCATAATGGAAACAAATGACTGTCCCCTTCCTCTGAGCTGAAATCTGTGAGCCCCGCACAATCTGCCAGTGTTAACGGATGTCTGTTATTTGCATGCACCAAAGAACCTGGCAAAAGTCAGCCGGACATTAGGAGCCTTTCACGGGGAAAAGAAATGATGTGAAAACAATCCCTGGAATATTTCTGAAAATACATTGGCTATTTTCATGTGGCTCAGCTCCTCATTCCCATTGGGTGTCTGGGACTTTAATGTGTCAGCATGTGATCATTTGAACATGTATTGTTTGTCATCTGTGTCCTCATTTTAAAATCTTCTAAACTGATGTAGGAATATAAAAAAAGAATTAAAAGATAAGGTAGGTATTAAAAAAAAACTAAATGTTAAATAATTCCACATGGTTTTGTTCTTGTGACCTTCAGCAGGCTTTAAATGTACATTAAAAGTT